AATCGGCACGCATTCGACCGAAAATCGAGTGGAAGCTCCCATCTGAAGCCACCTGACTTGATTTGACAGACTAAAACAAAATAAATCAAAACAGCTGATAGAAAAAGAAGTTGAACTTGAAAATTGTTAATAAGGGGCTTTGATTGCCAAAGCCCAGAAGATAAGATAATTGTTGAAATACACCGTTAAGACAGATGTATGATAAGAAAATACAAACCGGCTTGATCTGCCAAGGCCAAGATGTTAATGAATATAACCAAAAGAATGATAAGTTACAAATTTTAACCTGTTGCTTTACTGAACATTGGAATAAGCATCAAAACAGAGCATATTGCGAAATACAGTTGCGTAATACAAAAATGTGACCTACGGTCTTCAGTATTCTCTATTATGGGATTGAGGTGTGGACACTGACAGACGACATGTGTAAAAAGCTAGAGGCTTTTGAAATGTGGACATAGACGGATGTTCAAAATGTCTTGGACGGACAGAGTGCGCAATGAAGATGTGCTAACAGGAATGTCACATGATCTTGAAGTTATGTTTAGCTTGAAAAGCGAAAGTTAGAGTACTTCGGACATATACGCAGGAAAAAATCGAAGGCAGAAGAGGCCTTGGACGTCAAAGAATATCTTGGCTAAAGCATTTGTGTCACTTCAATGGTATGGCGAAACCATGACAAGTCTATTCAGAAAAGCAAATGGTAAAAATTGGAACATCTTCGTCTGATGATTATAATGTAACATCTGTAGTTCCACAAGGGGGTCATCTTGCCCCATTACTTTTTAACATCTTCATAAATCATTGTTGACTGTTTTCATCATAGTAATGCTTTATTGTATGCAGGTGATTTGAAGTTATTTAAAAGGTAACTGACTTACCAAATGCATCAGTACTTCTGCAGGAAGACCTTCAACGTTTTGAGAAATGGTGCGAGAACAATAATATACACCTCAACATTGGTAAATGTAAATGTATACAATTTAGCAGAAAGTCAAGTCCAAAACTTAATTCATATTATATACAAAATATTCTGCTGAATGGTGTAACTACAATTGAGAATATAGACCACAAGCTAACTTTTGTGGATCATATTGATTATATTTGTAATAAAGCTATGAAAATGTTAGGCTTTGTAAAAAGACATAGGTACCAAAGATTTCAAAAATGTATTTGCTCTCAAAACTTTGTATGTGTGTTTCAGTTCAGTGTTCAGTTAAATCTCAACTGGAGAATAATACATACTTGTGTATGGTCACCATACTTTCAGTGGCATAGAGATAGAAAGAATGCAGCGCAAATTTTTGTGTCATATTAGATTTAGATTGGGACTTGATGTTGAAACATGTACTTATGATCATCTACTGAACATTCTGAATATAAAGTCCTTGAATGAAAAGAGAATTAATTTTGATAAAGTATTTATTTATAAAATACTTGATAAAAATATAGATTGTAGTGACCTCCTGCAACTTGTTCATATTCATACTACTCCTAGATCACTTAGAGTTGCGAATACATTTAGTACTGAAAACCATCGCACCAATTATGGTTAATTCTCATTCATAAATAGAATGATGTCTCATGCAAATGAATTGAGAATTGACTTGTTTAAGACCTCTGTTGTTTTTGTGATTGGTGTAAATTTTATAATTCGTTTGTCATTATAGGTATATTGTCTATGTATTGGATTTTTTTTCAACGTTTTATTCTTAAGTGCGCGTTCACATTGACACCGCTCGAGCGGTGAGTGTTGCGCGATGCCGCTGTAGCGATGCCCAAAAATCATGTTAACATTATATTTCAACATGAACATGTTAACACCGCGCGACACGCCGCCTCAGTGTGAACTTGTTGATTTGAAATATAATGTTAAAATTATTTTTGGGCATCACTACAGCGGCATCGCGCAACGCTCACCGCTCAAGCGGTGTCAATGTGAACGCGCACTTAGACCTATTTTTTGTAAAATTGTCTTTTTGTAAAATTGGGATATTCCCGCAGTCGACAGAGTACAGATAGCGCTGATGATTGCCAACGTTCGTAGAGGGACAAGGCACTTGAAGAAGATCAAGATAAAGAAGTTATTATAGAAGATTGGATATTTAACGAACAAAAACCAAAATTTGAAAGTGAAAAGAAACCGAAATTTAATAGAAACAATTATTAAACAAAGTTAATAAATTTGTGCAGCGAATTTCTATCGGAAGTCTTGGATTGAATCGTAAGTGACAGAAGAGTGGAATATCCATGAAGTCGTGATTTCAATTTTTTGATGGAATCACCAACAACAGTTGGCAAAGACACTCCACTAGCCGAAAAAGGGACTGCATTCAAAGAAAAGTGGCCCAGGAGCATCTTCATGATTCAACATCCACGAGCAAGAATAAAAAAGGCTCAAGATAACGGCGCTTAGTGGAGGGAATCATGAAATACTCTTTGGTGAGGTCAAGCTACTTGCACCGACTTCCGGATACCACAATAGTCTTGTACGTGAAGCTATAGAAATCCACAAACATACGGAGAACTTCGACAGGAAAGAAGAAACACTAAAACTTAACCAAATCTGGAATCCGATCCTCAAAAACGCAAGAAAGATCCCATTGAGTACGGAGAAAGTTGAGATTAGCCACGTGCCGCGAAGCCCCGTCCCTCCCCCACCACAGCCACTCACACATAAATATAATTTACGGTCGGGAACGCGTCAGTCTGCTTCCAGAATGAGACATGGAAGCACCTCTGAAGATGCTAGCCACGCGTGCTAGCCAAACGTCTGGAAGAAATTCCAACTTACGACGGCCATTAAACTCGAATGAAAACCCCTTATCAATAAACCTGGGCCGCGAAAGCCTCACAAACTTTATCAAACAATGACGTGTTAAACTTTTGTGCCTACTACTTTCCGCAATATTAGGACCGTTGTTAAGTTATGGTATTAAAGAATTGACTGACTTAATAACCATAATTGAAGCTGATACAAAAATGAAATTGTTAAAAATGAAGTAAAGCCTGCATGGTCTCATTATAAAAGGGACATACAGTGGAAATCATTGCAATTGGCACACACTATGTAAATATACCTCGTAATGTGTCAAATCTGACACACAGTAATAGCAAAATGCTGCACTAAATAGATTTATTGGTTAGAATTTTGACTTAATACGGGGGATTTTAAAGAGTGTGTGCCAATTGCAATGATTCCCACTGTACATGCCCTAAGTCGATCAAATGTATCCGATGGTCTAGCTTTAGCGGACGAATGTTCCCATCAGTATCTCGTATCCCATTAATCGCCTGTGCACTCACATAACTTCTCAATTACTTTTCCTCAAGGTGGTTGATGTTATTCTCTTTCATACAATCTTTTCATCAAAAAAAAAAGATAGACATAGTCAATGCGGCTAATAAAAATCGTTTCAGTCAAAAAACTGCTGATTATGTCAAAAGTGAGGACACGTTTGAAAACTAACTTCCATCGGATACAAAATTTAAATTCTTTAAAACCAAGTTGATGTTTTGTATTGGACCCAAGAAAATGATAAATACTATTTCAATTTAAGTATAGAATTGATTTATTTTTCAAGGATAGTTATGAGAATATTCAGATGTTTGTTATAATTTATGTTAGTCATACATGTGCATTTCAGCATTTCGATTCTTCTTCATTTCAGCTTCAGCAATGTTAGCCAAGTGTCATTATGGACAGTTCTTTGGTAAAGCCTTATTTTGTTTAACATCAAAGTTTTTTCTAGATGGTTCATTTTAGCCTTGCACTTAGTATTTTTTTGAATGATTATTAATAATTAATTATATTCCTCGTTTTCTTCTGAATCTGAATATTCCCACGTAAAGTCACATCAATTTCAACGCAACATTCTCATATTTGGTATTCCACTTTTACAAATAATAATAAATTCTATATTCGGTTATAACACAAAATACTCAGCTAATAAGTGTATATCCCTCATTAAAATGATAACCAATATATATGTCCGCAATGCGATCGCGACGTAATAATAAAAGCCGATCCGACAATTCGTGGAAAAGTCCATTTTCTGCATTATACACCTTTCCGATATGGCAGTATTATGGCTTAATAGTGGCTAGTTTTACGTAAATAAAACGGAATAAATAGCTTCCATAAACAGCAATAGAATAATTGTATCTACCTATAAGTACCGCTATTGGGGAATCAAAATTAAATGTACTTATTATAATAATTTACCTCAATAAAAACTGAAACCTTTCAGTAGCTCAGTTTCAAATAAACGAGTGCATGCGTTATAATTTACCCTTCCATATTCCGGATCCCTCAAAGGGGGTTGTTCAAGTGGCTTGTATATATGACTAATTAAAATCGGTTTGCTCTTCTATAACACCGCCCGTGGTGGATCAATTTTTGAAAAAAATCGAAACCCGTTGTTCAATTTTAATAAGCAAAATGAGTCGGATGGCGAATTTTGATTATCAAAGGGAAACAAAACTTATTTAAGAAAACTGAGGGAGAGGCTGCTTGCTGCTACTGCTGCGGCATGAGCCTCGCCTCCTGTTGATATTAAGTTATTACGTGTTTCAGGAATTTAATTTCTTACCTGAAAAGCTTTTATAAAGCCGCAAGAGTTTTCTCGTGGGTAGCTTGTTGCTGAAGCTGATACAGTTAGGAACGAGTTAGAGAGAAGGGTATATGAATTTATATTTTTTGAGTTAGTTTCATACTGTTCAAGGTATTGAAGAATCAATTTTTGTCTTTAAGTGTTATTTAAATATTGCTCCAAAGGATCGTATTTTTTGTTTACTCTCATATAAAATATTGAACCTTACTGTTTGGCCTTTTAGGAAAGGCCATTCTGAGTAAGACCGAACGGATAAAAAAACGTTAAAATTTTGTCTGAAATTTCTGAATAACTTAACATTATTCTGAACCTTATAATTAGTGGATATGTTTATGTTGTGTCTACATTGAAAGTAAATAGACTCAAGTATTTTTTGTTTTGTTTTAGGCAGCGTGGTGACGCCCGGCAGCACCATTACCTCACCGTGGACGCCGGTAGCAGGCCCGCCGGCTGATTCAAACGGCGGGCCTGATTCTAAGAACCTCGACGTAGGAGATCTCAGCGACGTAAGTTAAGAATAATTATCCTATTTTACCACCTACCTTCCACTTTTATTGCACTATAGGTTTATTAAGTTTATGTAGATTTACACAATTGGAATTTATATCGAAAACAAAAAATCCCGCAGCCGTATTGTCTATGGTTTCCATAATATCGTACCTTGCCGACCTTGATGGTGGGACACCCGGTATAAGTTGAAAATTTGAAAGAACATCTCACACTTCTTATGGATTTCGGCCAATGACAGATTTGGTTGAAATTTTGGTATACGTTATTATTTTGGAAGTCGAGATAAGCCTTTTTTTTCATTGCACCAACCTTGTAGCGATACAGGGTGATATTAAAAAATTAGGTCAAAGATTTTTTTTTTAAATATTGTGCATTTTTTTGAATAAGAACAATACATATTCCATAAAAGTGATATTATTTTAATTTCTAGCATATACAGGGTGGTCTAATTTGGACACTTCTAATAGGAAAAGCTTCTTAACTTTTTGATTTACGAAAATAATTGATTTCCATAAAAACTCTCTTGAACTGTTTTTAAAAGCAAAATCCAGTGACATTTTTAGTTTTTTTGGTATTCCGTCAGGATTTCGAGATATTAACCAAAGCCCGATATTTTTAAATAGACCACCCTATATTTTAATCTCATTGGATAGCTCTGCTTTTGCTGATTTCAATAATATAAAGTTCGATAGTTTTATGTTCAACTGTTGTATTACAGTTTTTGAGAATAGAATTAATTCCGTGTTTGTCATAAAAACCTTTGTATTAGAAAAGGACTCTATATACGTAAGGGAAATGAGAAAGGTGTCTCTCTAACACACTGTTTCTTATGTCAAAAACAGATTTTTTTTTCTCGAAAACTAACCTATGGAACTGTACATCATTGAAATCAGCAAAAGCAGAGCTATCCAATGAGTTATTAAAATATAGGGTGTTCTATTTTGAAAAATCGGACTTTGGCCAATATATCGGAATTCTGGGAGTATCAAAAAACTGAGAATATCACCACGGACTCTTCTTAAAATACTAGTGCTTTTGGAAAGTTTTTACAGAAATCAATTAGCTCAAGAAGCTTTTCGTATTGAAAGTGTCCAAATTGGACCACCCTATACAGGATGCCTTTTAGAGATGTCGATTTTTTTACTTGTATACTCGTTCCTTGTCGTTACCAATCGTTACTTTGGTACAAAGTAATCGTTTCAAATACTCGTTACTTTGATTACTTGCATAAGTAAGTTATTGTTAGTATCGTTTATCATGCTAATTACTGCAGTGCCTCCATCTTTATTGATCATTATAAGATTTTTTCAATTCTATTTTCAAAATAATCCCAAGTATGTACTGAAAAACTTCGGGTATTGAGAAGTAACAGATAGTTATTTTTTCGACATCTCTAATGCCATTTTGTTGCATTTCGGGATACCCCTTGTATCTAGGTTTTCTCATAACTAATCGAATAGGTGACAACGGGTTCTTATAGATCTTTCTACGTAGATTTTAGGAGAAGTCAGCTTTTCTCTAGAAGTGATAGTTTTTGAATTATGAACGAACCAACCTTTTTTTTTTTTTTTCAAATGAGATACCTTGTATGATAATAACTCATTGGATAGCTCTGCTTCTGCTGATTCCAATTCCAATGATATAAAGTTCGATAGGTTTATCTCTATTATGCCTTTTTTCATCATAAGAAACAATGTATTAGAAGAGGACTATTTATATCTGTAAGAAAAATAAAAAAGGTCTCTTTGTCACACATTGTTTCCTATGACAAAAACAGATAAAAAAAAACTCACGAAAACCGTCGAATACCTACTTATCGAACTTATTATCATTGAAATCAGCAAAAGCATAGCTAGCCAATGAGTTATTAATATACAGGGTGTCTTATGTGAAAAAACGTATATTTGGCTCATAATTTCAAAAATATCACCTCCATAACCAAAATGCTGTACGTACATGCTAGAAATTGAAATAATATCACTTTTATGGAATATGAAAAGAATTACCTGATTTTATTTACCAAATTTAAACTACAATATTTTACAGTAATAAAAATTGAAAATCTTTGACCTAATTTTTTAGTATCACCCTGTATCGCTGCAAGGTCGGTGCAATGAAAAAAAAAATGCTTATTTTGACTTCCAAAATAATATACTAAACTTCCAACTAAATCTGTTCTGTCGGTGACCGAAATCCATGAGAGGTGTGAGGTGTTCTTTAAGGTTAAGGAGCTTAAACGAGGCAACTTTTCGAGTTTTTTGGAAGTAAATTGCTTTACCAACCAGTCATTTCCAGTTTCACCGGAAGTGGCCATAACTTTTAATTTTCAAATGGGACACCCGGTATTTCTCGAGTTTATTATGATAGGACCATTTTCGAAAAATTTATTCCAAAAAAAAATTGAATTAATTTTTAGAAAATAAAAAATCGGAGCTGCCACTGATGTAAATTGATTTAGTTGAATAATTGTAATTATCAGAAAAATTTGTAGCTTCTATTTTTCCCTGACTGAATGCCATAATTTCAGTTCAAAATTAAACAAAGAGGTTTTTTCAAAGTATCCCATATTTTTCAAATGTAACCAAGCCGGGACTTACCAAATTTTTGAAACTAGATTTTTTTCCCTATTTTTTGATGTCAACATTTTTAAAATTCGCTGAGAAATACCCCAACAACTTTTGAAAAATCTTTATTTTTAAATGCAAATGATGAACCGGTTTGGCGTAAACCTTTCACAACATTTACTCGAAATGGCCACCATTTTGGGATAGACATTGTCTTGATCTTCTAAGGTTGTTTTCTGCTACCCTATTTAGAATCTCGAGAGTAATTGTTTCAAAGGCATTTAAAATTCACTGTTCCAAGACTTGGACTCTTGGAGATCGAATACTGGAGTGACGTAAACAATAGCTTTAATGTATCCCCCCAAAAAAAAAGTCCATAGGAGGTAAATCTGGAGACCTTGATGGCCACCTGACAGGTCCATTGGTAGATATAACATGTTCGCCAAAAATTTCCATGTTGCGAAAGACCCCTTGTATTATAAGGCTCTATACCGTCTTGTTGAAAGTAAATCGAACTAAGTAACTAAAGGAGAAGATTGTCAACATCATTCTGAATTTAATCGATTCATAAGGAATCGCAAATACCTAACTCCTGCGAGAGTTCCTTGAAATAAAATTGGTCCAAAAATTCGATTTCCCAAAATCCCCTCCCAAACATTAACACCAAATTTCTTCTGAAACCGACCAAGTCTTACAATTTTTCGATTATTTTGAGACCAATAATACCGTGAATTCTGCCGGTAGAACATTGCATTATTGCAAAAACGGGATTCATCGATGAACAAGATTGACTTCACAAAATTGTTTTTCTGCGATTGACTAGAAATGTCAGCATTTTTGACCAGTTGACAGGTCGCAAAACTCAATATTCTGGCATTTCAATTATGTTTCAATAGTTGCTAAGGAATCAATGAATAACAATACGGGAAACACTTTTCCGGCCTAGGCCGGGAAAGTGATTCTCGTATTGCTGAATAATTGGAACTAAAAGACAAACATTTAACAGGTATTTAACCGATCGCAGAAAAAATAGTATGTGTATTTCGGTGGAAAAGCACATTCTCGGCCTTGGGTGTTTATCGGCCTCGGCTACGCCTCGCCCGTCAACTTACAACATCGGCCGAGAATGTGTCACTTTTCCACCTAAATACACAATACACTATTTTGTAATTATTCCTGTCAAGAAGTCATGCGTAAAATATTCTGCTGATGCCAAAAAACTTAAAAAATACCGGGGATCCCATTTGAAATTTAAAAGTTATGGCCATTTCCGGTTAAACAAGCTCCCCAAATTTCAAATTTTCAACTTATACATCAAAAAAGTTAAAGGTTGTTCCTTATTCCTTGTGTCACCCCGTATTTAGTGAACGACCCTACCAACAACTCAGTGAGAAAACCATATAAGTAGGGAATTCAATTGATTGATATCACTGGGAGACTTCAATGGACGAACAGAAAGAAAAAACATTAACAAGGTAGTAGGAAAATTTACATAACGAAAAAAGGCTGATAGCAAGATGGCCAACAAAATAACCTAGAAATTTTAAATGAATACTTTCAGTATTAGGAAGTACAGTCGTGAGCATAAAAAGTGGGATACCCGTCTTTTCCTATTGTAAAACGAGCTCATCAGCTATACCTACGGCAATGACAGCTTCTGTCATATTTGACAAAAAAACCATTGTAGAGAAAAGACTGATTTTCCCAAAATAGCGAAAAATGACAAGACCTGTCAGTCGGGTGTCCCGCACTTGTTTGTTCACGACTGTACAGGGTGTCCAAGATTCGATGGTTTTGGAGGTTTCGGGTATTTCTAAAGGAGTTGGAAAAGATCTGACCCCCACTTGCGAGCCTCGATTTTCAAGAGAAATTGACTGGTGAAAACCGCATCTCGATATGCCGAGTCGTTTTTATGCTACTAGGGGTTTCTGAAAAGTTTGGAGTTTGGCAGGGGGTCTATAACTTTTTTATTTATGAGACTTTGGTCAACTTTTTCCCTTGTAGCTTAAAAACGAATCGAGATATCGAGATGCGGGTTTCACCAGTCAATTTCTCTTGAAAATCGAGGCTCGCAAGTGGGTGTCAGATATTTTCCAACTCTTTTAGAAATACCCGAAACCCCCCCAAAACCATCGAATTTTGGACACCCTGTACGTCATAAATCCACCTGGAAAAATGAGACTATAGTCGATTAAAGGCGATTAACCAGTCGGTTATATTGACAGATGAACAATGCATTTAACGTCATTTAATACCAATTGGTTGACAAATGACGTTTGCTCCATTGATTATCTGTCAACTATGACCGACCGGTTATTCGCCTTTAATCGATGCATGTAGTTAAAGGAAATCGATTATTGACTTCACTATTGCAAAACAGGCATCAAACATAAAATTCCAGGGTGTGAGATCATATGGGGGAGTGACCTGTG